CACATTCACACCTACGGACAATTTAGAATCACCAATTAACCTCAACATGTTTTTGGACTGTGTGGGAGGAAGCCGGAGAACCCGGAGAGAACTCATGCTGCATGGGGAGAACAAGCAAACTCCACACAGAAAGATCCCCGGTGTCTTCACCAGGACCTTCTTGCTGCAAGACGACGGTGCTAACCACTGAGCCACCTTGCAGCCCTTATTTTCTGTCCCTTTCTTTAAACGATTTGTTCCTCTTACTGCTTTATTGAAAGCACGTTAAAGTGTTTTTGTGTTTAACTAACCTTCACTTTCTTGTGACTGTAATCTTCTGCCTCTCCCTACGAGTGATCTAGTTGTATAATGATAACCATAGTGTACTTTTCTTCAGTCTGGCAATAATAACAATATAATAATACATTTTATTTAGAGGTGCCTTTTTTGGCACTCATGGACACTGTACATCCATCCATCCATCCATCCATCCATTTTCTATACACCGCTTAATCCTCATTAGGGTCGCGGGGGGCTGGAGCCTATCCCAGCCAACTGCGAGGCGAACCAGCGACCTTCTAGCTGCGAGGCAACAGTGCTAACCAACTGCGCCACCTTGCAGCCCTGATACCGTACATACATTAGACAAATTAAATAAAAGAAACAACATTAAAATAATTAAAATCACTAAACCAACAGACAGAATAACATGCTTCAGGTGGAGTAGGCAGTCCTAAACAGATGAGTTTTGAGTTGTGATTTGAATCGGGGGAGTGAATCGATATTTCTGAGCTGGGATGGTAGTGAATTCCAGAGATGGGGAATAAGTCGGTCTATATTTGGGTTACCAGGTTGTGAAAAATCCTTAATATTCTATTTAATAATAATGTATTTATACTACACTTGTGGTCCCCAACACTTCTGCAGAAGGTGAGTGGACACGCAGGTTGCTCTTAGTAAAACTGATCGAGAAAGCTACAGATTTACTGACTATTATGAAAAAGTATCACAAACATGACCGTTCCCAGTTTTAACCTATACCGGTGTTATAAATATTGCATTATCATTTTAAATACCTTTGTTTACAAAAATAAGAATATTTAAATTGCCAAAATTCTCAAATCTTAAATCTCAACATAAAAGTATGCTTCATAATTGTTAAAATCAGTATTCATATGACTAATTATGTCTTAGTAAGGAGAAGTCTGTTGGAATATATAGTCTTTTAAATGCACTGATAGTTTAGAATTCACACAAACACATCTAATGACTGTTTATGCATGAGCTGTGCTGATCTGAAGAAGGAGAAAGAAAGATTTCAACAGGCCAAAGAGACCAAACTCAGGGAGGTTAAGCAAGGTCAGTTAGAAGGAATGTAGCTGCACACACACACACACACACAAACACGCACAAACACACACACCTATCAGTGCTTTGCATCCACAGAAATACCATCCCCCTGTAAATTAATAGTAGTTAAGACAAAGGAAAAGTACTGACATCCAGAGAGTGGGGGATGTTTTTGGGGAAGTTTCTCTTTACGGCTGTGGATGCTGTGGACTGGATGGATCGGGTGCCAGGAGATATGGACACATCTGTGCACCAACAAAGGGAGAGCTAAGTTTAAACCACGGCTCCTCCCCGACAGATAACCATTCACGTTTTGCTATTTAAATTCAATGTTAGTAGCCAATCACCTTCCACTACACTGAATAAAACGTATATGATTGTATGAAGCTGCATCCATTGCTGGGGAAGTGGGTGACAGAGTAACAGCTGTGATTTTCTGAATCAGTAATGGATCCTTGATCAAGTAAAATATGATATTGCAGAATAAATAACACTGAATGAGAGTTTGTCTTCTGTCTCAAAAGAACAAACACGCTTCAACAAGTCTAAATCCATTCAATGTGTGTCTTCAGTAATCTGTGGGATTGTCACACGTCAGTTGCTACCAAGGAAGTGGTGACATTTGATATCAAGCCACCTGTAGATGGAAAGTGTGTGAGTGCGTGGCTCCTACGCATTAAAACTAAAGTAAATTCAGGTACCGTCCAGCTGCAGGTCAGGGTTGTCTTCACCAGCACACCCCCCATCGTTGGCCTTCAGGATCTGCTGAAGAACGGCGTCCACGATGGGCATCATCATGGTAACAGCCGAGGTGTTGTGGACCCACATGGAGAGAAACGCACAGCTGGACATGAAGCCCAGCATCAGCCTGGAGACAACAGCACGGTGGTCAAAGCAGGAACATCCACAAACAGATCTACGCCTGGTTACATTTGCTGTTTGACACGTTGTGGTGGCAAACGTCATGGAGGGACTAAATCAGAATCAAAACTGCTTTGTTGCTTAAAATTGTGGAAGCTGTAAAAGTAAACAACTACTGCAGAAGGAGGACATTCAGCGGAGCATTTAGTCATTTGTCTCCGTCTGAACTTGCTCCCCTGGCTGAGCAGAACACTGTGTAGAGGGAGACGTCGGTGATGGAGAGGAGTTCTGACAACTCTGTAAGCTGTCCAGCTCCACCCTGAGGACTGATCCAGCCTTAGCAATGAGTTACTTTTCTTTGCTCCTCCTCTGCGTATCCTGATTTCTGTGAGGATCTCTGTTGTTATTGTTTAGGTTGCCATGCCAGCCAGCTGGTCACTGCTGTAAACAGTGTGAGCGTGCTGCGCAACAGCAGTGAGATGATAACACGGTACAACAACAAAGCAGAACGTTCAGAGATTGCCCAGCTCACAAGAGCTACCATTAATAATCATAGATATAGTAATAATATGTGTGACTAAAGGCTGCAGGGTGGCACAGTTGGTTAGCACTGTTGCCTCGCAGCAAGAAGGTCGCCGGTTCGCGTCCTGGTGGGGGCACCGGGATCTTTCTGTTGCATGTTCTCCCCGTGCAGTGTGGGTTCTCTCTGGGTTCTCCAGCTTCCTCCCACACAGTCCAAAAACATGCTGAGGTTAATTGGTGATTCTAAATTACCATGGATGGATGTGTGACAAAGAAAAAAGCTGAAAGACGAGCAGGAGCATGTTCACACTTACATAAGAATAATACAAAATCAAAGGAGTCTTTGCATGTAGCAGCTTCTACGAATGCACCAGCAGAGGAGGGCAGTGCTCACCACGCGGGGTTGACTCCCACCACAGTGACCAGCCTCAGGGCCATTCTCTGATGGAGGCCCCACTTTTCAATGGACGTGGCGAGACAGATGACACCCATGAGCAAGAAGTGAAAGTCTTTAAAATACTCCTTCGCCACCTGGACAACAAACAACGTTTTATACAAGAGCAACACAGTACAAGTCGAGTGCAATAAAGGGAGAAGGACAGTTTGTAGTTTAGCTATTGTAATCAAAATGTGGAAAATAAAACAAACTACACAACAAAATACCAATAGTAGCCATTTTGAAATTTAGCAGTACTTGAACTAACCCTGAAGTATCATTTAATGACTGGTATTCTCGTTATCCAACGGAGCACTAAGGCTGGATAACAGCTACCTGACTGACTGAGCTTTTTAAAATTTTTTAATTTTAATTTTTTAGTAAATGTTGCATTTAACGAAATATATTTTAAGATTATCTAAGGTAAAACAGATGTGTTGTGCAAAAGCGGGGTAGCTACAGTACCAAACATTTTAGTGAGTGTCAAATGTTAGCAAGCAATACAGAAGAACAGCTTCACACGCTAACGGTCATGTGGACTCACGCTGGAGGAGTTCATGATGCCAAACATGGGGAAGAGGATGGCGGGGAGCATGGCGGTCATGGACAGAGGAATGGCCTCCGTCACCCAGTACACGGCCATCAGCAGCAACACAAAAGCACATTCTGCCTCCTGTAGTAGAAAAAACACAGACACCAGGTTTGATTTTAATGTGTTGGAGGACAGAAAAAGACAATTAAAAAAAAAAACAACTAAAAAAAACAATGATCACTTCATCATTTCACCAAGAGATAAGATGTTGCTCAAATTAATCCAAGTTTTTTTGTTAATGTTTGTAAAACAAAGACATGCTTGAGTCCTCTCTTCTTCCCCCCGTGGTCGACTCTTTCCACTGAGCTGTAGGACTTTTATATTACAGTGGAAAATGAGTAACAATATGACAGGAACAGAAATGCCTAGAAGCTGCTTGGGCTTC